CCGCGCGCCTGCGGGCCGCTCGCGGCACCCTCGGCGTCGCCTGGGCCGTCGCCGTCGGCGTCGCTCTCCTCGCTGCCCGCGCGCCCCCGCGCGCGGGCTTTCCAGACTGCGGCTGCCATCGCTGCTGCCGCCGTCATCCCGGGATCTCCCGCCGCCCGCTCGCCGCCGCCGCAAGGCGCGCGTCGTGGCCGCGGCAGGGCCCGGGGCCTTGAGCGGCCAGCGGCGGCGCGCCATCGCCTAGCAACCGTCGCATCATCGCTCGCATCGCCCTGAGCTCGGAGTAGCGCCACTCGGCCGCGGCCAACCACTCTAAGCCTCGCTCATGCGCTCGAAGAAGTGCCTCCTCCTGACGGCGTTCTCCTTCCGAGCTTCCTCGCATATATCTGTGGGTGACCTGGCCGAGGGGCTCGTTCCCGAAAAGGGCGGGGCGCTGGCGCCACTTCCTCGGCGCGCGGAAAGGCGGCGGCCGCGGCATGGCCCGCAAGTAAGCCTCGCACCAATCTATGAACCCACCTCTCTGCAGGACAGCCTCGCCTCGCAAGTCGCAGATTCGCGTCGCCGCCCATCGCCTGGTCTCGCGCCAAATCTCTGCGCGCTAGTCGGCTTGCGCTGGCACCGTGCGCGGGGAATTTCACATGTCGCTGGGCGGCGCCGAGCCGTCGTCGCGGGCCTCGCCGCTGGAATGCGGGTCTGGAGAGCCTGGTGGGCCTTGCGCGGCCGCGTGGCGCGCGCCGTGCCCTCGAGCTCCTCGCGCCTGTTGGCGCCCCGCCGCAGCTGCTCTTCCGCGGCTCGCTCGCTGTTCGCTGGCGCGCGCGCGGCCGCCCCGCCCGCCGCCCTCTCGGCGGTCTCCGTCTGAGCGACGCGCCCCGCCGCGCTCAGGGGGGCGCTGCATGGGTGGCAGGCCGCCCCCTTCTTGGCCTCGATGTCGGCCGCCCTGTTGCCGAGCGCGATCCCCCTCGCCTCTCCGTCGTGCCGTAGCCCAGCCTGCGCGTGGACGGGCGGGCCCTGACCTTGCGGAGCTGGATGTTGCCGAGGCCGATGTCGTAGATGAGCTTCCAGATCCTCCTCCACTGCTCGGCGTAGGCGTTAGTGACTGCGCAGCGCGCAACGGGTCCCGCGGCGATGCCGTCGAGCAGGTTCTCGTAGTCGTTGTAGAGCGTGAAAGGCGGCATCACGCGGTGCCGCATGGCCCCGGCCGCGACGAGCTCGCCCTCCCCGACCTCCAGCAGCCGCCCAGGCGACGGCCCGTGGCAATCGCCCGTGACGTGCCCGATGGTCGACGGCGGCGCGCCTGAAGCCCGCGCGCATGTCGCCAGCCCTGGTCGGGCACCTGCCAGAGCCGTCCACGAATTCGTCTCCAGCGAAGACTCCTCCTGGGATCTCTTTGCTCCGCGCGACCTGCCAGTTCCTGGCGGGCCTCGGGCACTCGGCCAGGTTGGGCAGGAGGCACCTGCACAAGGAAGCCTCCTGCGTCGCCGTCAGCCGGCCCGTGGGGGAGCCGACGTGGCCAATCTCGCTCCCCCTCCTGTCGCACAGCCATGCCGCGCGCGCCCAGTGGCGGTGGGCCAGCGTCCCAGGCGAGGGGCCATATCGCTGGCGCAAGGGCGAGTCTGCCAGGCCAGCCACAGACAGCCGCTGCTGAGGCAATTGGCTGCCCACTGCGATGGAGCGCAGCCCGCTCGCCTCCTTCGCGATCGCGAGCTTCCTGGGGCTACGGGGCGCATCTCGCGCAGGCTCGATGTGGATGCCGCCCCGCCTGCGCTCCAGGCCCTCGTGCTTGGCGACGAGCTGGCACTTCCAACGGCCCACAGCGCGTTGAATGGGTGCTCGGGCCAGGTACAGCTCTTCGCCGTCGCGAGTGGCCAATCCGCTTGCCGAGAGCGCCTTCCGCCCCGCCCTGTCAAGCATCGCCGGGGCAACTCCCGCTGGGCCGACCACAGAGGCCAGCCGGTTGATCTTGCCCATCTGGGTAGGGATGGCGTGAACGAGGGCGCCCTGCATATGTTGATCGGGGCCCTCTTGGTCTGCGCAGCCATGTCCCGCTCGGCATGCGCCGCCGCAATCGCTGCGTGGACAGAGTCCGTGAACATGGTGGCCCCCGCGGCGGCTCGAAGCCGATGCAGCTGCGAACCGCTGAGGCCCAGCGCGCGCGCCCCGTGCGTCGTGGCGCGCCGAAGGCCCATCCTGCCTGCCATGCCCGACTCGGCGCCGCGCCTCCTGAGGCACTTCGCCCCGCCAACCCTGGCCTTCTGCTGGGTCGCGCTGTCCTGCGTCGCCTTCGTCCTGCGCCGCGCCCCGACGGTGGAGTCGACGCCCAGGTTGCGGCGGTGCTTGCTGACTTGCAGCCTCCGGCCCGTCCGCTCGTAGACCTTGTCGGCCATCCATTCACCCGCGTGCGCGGGCATCGCCGCGATGGTGGACTTCGAGCCTTTGATCTCGAAGCCGAGCGCGCGCAGGTGCTGCGCCGCGCCCGTCGATCTCCTACGCAGCCACCGCTACGCGCCGATGCAGACGACGGTGCGCCTTCGGCCAGGGGGTGGCAAACCCACAGCCGGCCAAGATGCTGGGGGTGATATTGGTCTGGTCCGACATGGCCTCGTCGATCTTGCATCTCCGCCTGCCCGCGTAGACGCTGATACTGGCGCGCAGCCGCGCGAGGTTGGCGTCGCGCTCGCAGCCCTCGTCCCAGAGCGTCTGGTGGCCGACGCGCTCGTATCACTTCATCATGTCAAGCTGGTTGGAGGGGGTGAGCATACCGACCTTGTTTCCCTACTCCTGGCACGCGGCGTGGCCCCATGCGGCTCGCTCCGTCGTCCTGCCGCTGGCGTTCTGGAAGCACGGCAGGTCGCGCTCGCCCTCCCATTTCTGCATTTGCGCCCTCCGCGCCCTGGTCCAGATGCGCAGGGGGCCGCCCGAGGGGGCGATGGGCCGACCGCCCCCCTCCTTCTCGGTGAGGAAAACGATGATGATCACCAGCTGCTGCGGCTGGTTGCCATCCCACTCCGCGTGGACCGCGAGCCCCGCCAGGAACTCCAGCGCCTCGTCGCGAACCACCGCGGGTCGGAGCCGAGGACGGTGCGGTGCTTGATGCTTCTGCTGGCTTTCCTGATGGCCACAGCCGCGGGCTCGGCTCGCGGCGCCGCGCGTCGCCCCGGCACTTCGGCGCCAGGGGCTTGTCTGCGTTCTGGACCTGCTTGAGCCACTCCTTGCAGAACTTGTCCGCCGCGTCCCGGGTGTCGGCGGCGACCCCGCCCTTAGTTGCTCCGTGGCCCGCTCCTGCTGGGCCTCTGGTCCACTTGTGCGCGAGGCCCGCGCCGTCCAGCGTGGCCTTCTTCGCTCGGGCGTCGAATGGCCTGCGCCGCTGCTTCTCAATGTCTCGCGTGATCCTCCTGCCGACGATCCCCGCCCGCTCGGCTATCTGCTCGAAGACGTCGGGGCCTAGGTCGCGCCATCGGGGCCAGTGCCGCTCGAAGAGGTCCCAGTCGGCTGTCTTCCTGGAGGAGCCCTCCCACTTCTCCTGGGCGCCGTAGAGCCTGTCCGCCGCCTTGCGGTGGCCCCCTGCCCCCCTCAGGATGGCCTTCTGCAGCTCGCGCAGGCGGTTGCTGAGCCAGAGCGCCTGCCTTGCCTCGAGGGAGGCCTTGGCCACAGCCGCGCTGTTCTTCCTGAGCGGGTTCGCCTTGATAAATTTCGGTTCGCGCCCGCGCCCGCGTGCTTCTGCGCCCCCTGTGGCTCTTTGGAACACGCGGGCTGGGCCCTCCTCGGCGCCCTTCATGAAGTCGGCGCAGCCACGAGCTAGCGCCTCCCCGCTCACCTCTGCGTCGAGCAGGGCGGCGCGCGCTTCTGGCCAGCTCGCGCGGGCCTCCCGCCCAGGCCCAATCCGCCGCTCGGCGGGGCAGCTCCTCGGGGAGCGGTGGATTGCAATCGCGCTGTCGACGGCGCCGCTCGCGTGCCTGAGGCCTAAAGGGCGGTGGTCCTTAATCGCGCAGGCGTGGGTGAGGTCGCAGCACTTCGCCTTCGGCGTGGGGACCTTCGGAAACGCCCACTAGTCGAGCAGTGCTCCGTCCGCCAGGTCGCCGTGCGTTGCCTCCTTGGGGAATGCGGGCTCTGCCTCTAGGGCGTGGGAGATCCCCGGCTTCGCCAGCTCTGTCGCGCGCGCGTTGAAGCCGCCGCCGATGAGGAACTGGCGCCCCGGCCCCTTCAACTCACGCGCGCAAAAGTTGATGAATAATCTGCTCCTCGCGATCATGGCCGCGCCGTGGCGCAGGTAGACATTGCCCGCGGATGCCCCCTCGCAGCCATCCTTTCCAGCATCCGAGCTGCGAACGGCCCTTGGCGAACGCGAGCCCGGGGCCAACGTGCCAGTGTCGCGCGGGCCCACGCCGTGGCCGCGCCGCCGCGCAGCCGCCGGTGCCTCCTTTCCTGGTGGGGACAGCGGGGCTGGGGCGCAGCTGCCACTGGGCCCGCTTGGCCCAATCCGACGCCGCGTGGGTCTCCTGCTCCAAGGCCGGGTCAGTCTGACAGGCGATCGGGTCCAGTTGGAGGTCCGATAGGCTCGTCCACGTTGTGCCACTTGCTGCGATGGCCTGTGCGCGCGCAGGCTTCTGCCTCTATCTACGTTTTTCGTGGTGCCCCATCCGCTGGGGCGGTCGAGTGGCTGCCCCTGGCTTGGGGGCAGGGCGCCGCGGTGCTCGCCGAGCTGCTCTCCGTCTCCCTGCCCGACCAACTCGCCGCTCCTCGATCGCTATGCTCGCCTTGCCCGCTGGCGGTCCCCTCCAATTTGGCCCTGCCAACCGCGGTGAGCAGTGCGTGCCCCGAGGGGTCGCTACTCTCTTCCTCGGGCCCTTTGGCCAAGCTGCCCTGGCCCTGGGCGACGCCCGCCCGCCGGCCAGTTCGGGCGGGGCGCTCCGCTCCGTGCGTCTCCGGCGCGGCAGGCTTGACCGGCGGCGGCGCGGTCGAGATTCTGACGTTCTTGATCTCCTCGGCAAAGGATGTCCAGTAGCCTGTCGCTATCGATGGGGAGGGTGGCGGTGCTGCGGCTGGCGTCGGGAATCTGCGGCCGCGCCTGCTGCCCGTCCTCCGCTGGCACCTGGCCGACCCTCCTTATGTGCACGATGAGCTCCGCTGCCATCTCTATGATCACGCCCGCGATTGCGATGGGCCTCTGCTTGACCAGCTGCGCCGCGTTCCGATCTGTCACCGTCAGCTCGGCGCGGGTTCCGCACTCGTGGTCCAGGGAGGCGTCGTTGCCAGGCTTGACCATACCTGGTACCCAGGCCGAGCGCCCGCCGACTGCATGAAAACCCTCGGCACCTGACCGCTGCCGCGGCTCGAAGGGCACGGCCCCCGACTCGTCGCACTCTAGCCCGGCTCTGTCGAAAGGGTCGAGCTCGCGGTGCACGGTGAAGCCGAGGCCGATAGGAGCTGCTGCGACTCGCGCCCTGGCTGCAGATGATCCGCAGGGAGCGACGGCGGGCGCGCTGCCGCCGGCGCCCGCGGCGACGCCGTTGGAGGTAACCATCCGCTTGACCGGCGGCACCTTGACCCGATCCAGGGCCCCCCAGCGCTCTTGGCCCAGGGGGTCCGCAGTGCCGAGCTTGGCCGCGCCTGGGCGGTGCCCGGGCCGAACGCGTGCCGAGGGGGCCAAACCCTCCGCGCCTGACCGCTGCTGGATCTGCTTGGCCAGCGGCTCCGTGGCCCGATCCCGGGCCCCTGGCTCGTCGCCAGGCTTGGCCGTGCCTAGGCGGTGCCTAGGCCGATCGCCGGCCGAGGGGATGAAACCCCCAGTGCCTGACCTCTGCTGCAGCTCGATCGAAGGGCGCGGCCCCTGATTCGCCGCAATCCAGGTCGATGCAATCGAAAGGGTCGAGCTCGCCGTCCGCGGTGGAGCCCGGGCCGATCAGGGCTGCTGTGCCTCGCGCTACGGCTGCAGATGCTTCGCAGGGAGTGGCGGCGGGCGCGCTGCCGCTGGCGCCCGCGACGACGCCTCTCAAGGTGATCATGCGCTTGGCCAGCGGCGCCTTGGCCCGATCTTGACCCCATCTCGCCGCGCATTTCCGCCGCATGCCGATGGGGATGAAGCCCTCCGCGCCTGACCGCTGCTGCATCCGCTTGGACAGCGGCTCCTTGGCCCGATCCAGGAGCCCCAGCTCGTCGCGCATCTCGCGCTCGCTGTCCAGGAAGTCGGCGTTGCCGGGCATTGCCGCGCCTGGGCGGCGCCCGGGCCGAGCGCCAACCGAAAGGATGTAACCCTCAGCACCTGGCCGCCGATTCGGCCCGGAGGGCGCGGTCTCCGACGCGCCGCCGTCCAGCTGGACGCGGTCGAAGGGGTCGAGTTCGCCGTGCCCGGCGGGGCCAAGGTCGACGTGGGCCGCCGCGACTCGCCCCTCGGCTGCAGGCGCTCTGCGGGGAGCGACGGTGGGCGCGCTGACGTCGGCGCCCGCGACGGTGCCGTTGGAAGTCGCCATGGTGCCGAGCCGCTCAGCGAGGCCCGCCCGCTCCGCTCGCCCATGCAGCGACGGCGAGGAGTGGGCTCTGGGCAGCGCGGCGAGCAGCAGCGCGCAAGCCCTCCGCGTCAGTCGGCGAGGCCCGGGCGAACTCGCTGGGCCATGCCTGCTCGAGTGCCTCGCGGAGCTGTGCCTCAGGGGAGGCGGCCGCGGGGTCGGGCTCGCGGGGCTTGCCCGCGTCGTCGGGCAATCTGCCTCCCGCGGCGCCCTGGCCGCCAGCTGGCCGGGCCTGGGCGGAGGGCGCCGCCAGCTGCTGCGGCAGGAAGTCTCCCAGGGGCTTAGAGACCAGCTGCCCCTCGGCCTGGTCCGTCGAGCGCTCGCTGCACTTGGCCGCCACCGCGGCCGTGTTCACGGTGACCTGTGAATGGGCTTGACGAGCCACTTCGCCACCATCGCCATCAGCGCCGAGACCATTGCCCGCGCCATTACTGACGCCCGCTGCCACCAACTCCTGCGCGTGCGCCGTGGCCTGGGCCTGCTGGGCCTCGGCAAGGTGGACCGCATCTCCGCGACCTTCTCGGTTTGCTTCGACACAACGACCTCCTTGCGCTTTACGTCCCGCCTGGCGATCTGCAACTTGGTGTCCCTTTGCCTCGCGTCGTGGATCTTCGTCCGCAACATGTCGGGCTCGGACTGGAAGGCGTCGATCGTGGCGTCCTAGTCGGTCGTGCCAGCGGCGCGCCTTTAGCACCTTGATCTCGTTGGCGAGCCAATCGGCGCTCTTGGGCACCGCGGCCTCGACGGTGGTGCCAGATTCGGACGAGGAGCTGTCGACGACCATCTACCCCCCCCCAGGGCCTTGGCCACGAGCTGCTCGATCTTGGCCTCGAGCGTGCTAATATCCACGGCAGGGCCCTTCTTGGACTTGTCCTGCAACTGCTTGCCATTCGCACGGCCCTCGGCCTCGCTTGGAGACCGGCGAAATGGGCCTCCTCTGCGCCGATCACCGCCGAGCGAGACGCTCTTGCGGAGCTTGCACATCGTACACTTGTCGAAAGTGCCTGGGTTGCACCAGCGCTCTCGCGTCCTCTCGTTTTTTGCAGCCATTGCAACAAAACCAATCGGGCTTGTCGCGCCCGTTGCCGACCGTGCTCTGCGTGGGCTTGCCGCCGCCGCCTGCCGACCATGGGTACTGCCAACTTCCAGCCATGCCGTCGAACTCGTGGGTGCTGCCGCTGTAATCAATACGATTCGGCGGAGGGCGCTCCCCCAGGAACTCACAGGAAACTTGGAAGCTGGCCGCGGTCTAGCGGTACCCTTCCAGTCTGGAGGCTTGCGGCCCCCTACGCTGAACATCTTGAGCCAACATGGCCACTTAAGGACGAAAAAGAAGAGGCGGAGGAGGAGGAGGAGGAGGAAGAGGAGGAGAAGGAGGAGCAGTCGTCGTCCTCCTCCTCGCTCCTCCTCGCTCCTCCTCGCTCTTCCTCGTCCTCCTCGTAGTCCTCCTCGTAATCCTCCTCGTAGTCCTCCTCCTCCTCCTCCTCCTCCTCCTCCTCCTCCTCCTCCTCCTCCTCCTCCTCCTCCTCCTCCTCCTCCTCCTCCTCCTCCTCCTCTCCTCCTCCTCCTCCTCCTCCTCCTCCTCCTCTGCTCCTCCTTCTCCTCCTCTCTTCTTCTTCTCTTCTTCTCTCTTCTCTCCTCCTCCTCCTCCTCCTCCTCCTCCTCCTCCTCCTCCTCCTCCTCTTAGTCCTCCTCACCCTCCTCCTCCTCCTCCTCCTCCTCCTCCTCCTCATGCTCCTCCTTTTCGTCTTCCTCACCCTCCTCTTCTTCTTCCTCCTCTTTCTCCTGCTCCTCCTCCTCCTCCCCCTCGTCCTCCCCGTCCTCCTCGGTCTCTTGATGTTCGATCGTTCTTGTCTTCGGAGGGTGTGGCTGGCGGCGGAGAGGCGGGAGGCGGAAGAGTGGCAACTGCTCGACGCGGCGAGGCGCGGGTTGGCCCCGGAAGGACGGGCCGTCGGGGAGATCCACGGGTAACGACGACGCCCACAGCGACAACGACGACAGGCTCGTCCGCAGCGCTCCGACATCGGGCGTCTCAACAACATCGGGCCGGAGGCCTTTCATCGTCATCGGCCTCTCGGGTCCCTTCGTGCCTCGGGGCCGGCAAGAAAACGAACCGGAATGAAGCACTGGTCCCCCGGGGAAGCGGTCAAGAGGTCGGGTGCCCGTGTCTCGAGCAAGATCGAGGCGCCGGATGTCTGCGCGGCGGACGCCTCTCCTCCTCCTCCTCCTCCTCCTCCTCCTCCTCCTCCTCCTGCGCCTCCTCCTCCTCCTCCTCCTCCTCCTCCTCCTCTTAGTCCTCCTCCTCCTCCTCCTCCTCCTCCTCCTCCTGCGCCTGCTCCCTCATCCTTCCTCCTGCGGCGTGGGCGGGAGAGGGAGGAGCACACGAGGATTGGGGGTGGGAAGCGAACGGGGGGGACACACGATAATGCAGGAGAGCCGTTAGATAGGACTCGTCTTCCGGATCGGCAGCGAAGCGGTGGTTATCGTGGCACTGACCCCCTTCGGTCCGTCTTTTGCAATGGAAAGACTTTCAGCCTCGCCTCTGGCTCGCCTCTCGTTTGCACGTGTTCTGAAGATCGTTCCGGTGCAAGTTAACATGCGCTAGCGGAGGAAGGGCTTACCAGACGCATTCCCCAACCATTTGGGATAATTCCTTCCTGCACTTGGAACACCACATCCGCCGACCCTGTCGGCGTGTGGAAGACGCTCTTCCATTCGTCGTCGTCGCCGTCGTCGTCGTCTCCGTCGTCATCGTCGTCGCCGTCGTCGTCCTCGTCGCCGTCGTCGTCGCCGTCGTCGTCGTCGTCGTCGTCGTCGTCGTCGTCGTCGTCGTCGTCGTCCTCGTCCTCGTCCTCGTCGTCGTCGTCGTCGTCGTCGTCGTCGTCGTCGTCGTCGTCGTCGTCGTCGTAGTCCTCGTCGTCGTCGCTGTCGCCGTCGCCGTCGTAGTCGCCGTCGCTGTCGCCTCTCCCCCTCGTCGTCGTCGCCGTCGCCGCTCCTCCCCTTTCCCTTGGCCCTCCTCCTCAAGCGCACCAGCCAAAACGAAATTGAGCAACGTCGTAGTTCAGTCGAAGGGAACCCCTTTCTTTTGATCCCTTCTCCTCCGCGGGGGGGGGTCCTGGGGGCGGTCCTGGGAAAAGTCCCAGGGAGGGGAGTGCCGGAGGGGGTTCCAGGTTAGAGTACCATTCCTCCTAGGGGGTAGGGGGTCCTAGGTAGGGGGTCCTAGGGCCCCCCAAACCCCAAGACGGTGCCCTCAGAGGCCTCCAAGGCGGTCAAAGAGGGCCTCCCCCAGACGGTCCAAGACGCCTCCCAGACGCTCCACGAGATCTTCAAGAACACTCCGGAAAAGGTCCCAAGGGGTGTGCAAGTCATAATTGGCGTTTCCGCCTTTTCGGCTTCCCGACGCTTCAGGCGTCAACGATCGCCCCGAAATAGCTCCAGATGCATCCAAGAGAGCCCCGCATCGACCCAAGAGGGAGACGGCCCAAAAGGCCTCCAAGACGGCTCAAGACGCCCCCAAGACGACTGCCAGGTGCCCACACAGGGGATTCGAAAGGAGCTTTGGAACCTTCGGCCCCGGAGCCTCTCAGGAGGCCCCAAGAGTTCCCAAGAAGCCCCCCCACATGTTTCCAAAGAGGTCCCCCAAAGGCCTGTAGAAGACCCAAGAGGCCTTCAGGAGGCTCCCAAGAGACGCACCAAAGGCTCCCGAAGACCCGAGAACCCCCCCCTCCTCCCCGTCCACCTGTTCTCTTTTCCTGTCCTCCTCGCAGACAGGGTCGGCGGCACCGGCCGTCAAGCCTTCACAAGGTGAAAGGTTTGGGGCCTTTTGTGGGCCTCTTGGGCGCATCATGGTTCCTCTTGGGGTTTTCTTGGAGTTTTTCGGGCCGTTTTGGTGCCATCTTGTTGGAAGCAATCGATCAAACATGGGGGGGCGCCGTGAGCCTCAGCAAGCACCCCAGGAGGCTTAAACTGGGTTGCGCTGGACTCCACGGCAGGAGGGGCCAAATCCTACTTTGGGGGGCGTGGAGTGTGGGTCTCGAGCGCGGCGCGACGGGATGTCAAGCTCAGGAATTCCTGGGACCAGCCACGACAAGTCAAGCGCGGTGGGCCGCACGCCACTTTCATAGCAACAGCAGCACGCCTGCTATCTGCATATTGCATTCCAACTTCGAAATATCAGGCCATCTACCTGCCAACGCTCAGAGTTTTGATCTCGCCATGTCCCCGCCGATCCCATGCCCATGACCAAACCTCGTCCAATGCCAAAGATCCAAATGATGGGGGCATGAACCTGTTAAACTAATCACATTGCGGCTTCGGAATTGGACTTCGGCCAGTGCGTTCGTTACGCAGTCCAACTGTTCGGGAAAACGCGTTTCGTGGACGCTTGCATGGACACGTCGGAAAGGGCCCCCCCCAACAAAAACATGGTCCTAGTTAAGGAGCCCACCATGACATTGTGAATGACGCAGCTGTGAGTATCGTCCTCGGCGCAACTCCGGATGTGGCCACGACGCGTGTGAGAAATGTGCCGTAGTGGACATGCGGTGGGCGGCGGGCCGCATGTGAACTCTGCCGCCAGGGCCTTTTATTTCATGACCTGCGCGGTACTCGCTGCAAGCACCGGCCGCTCGAGAAAGCCCAAGCACGGCCGCCCAATGCGGCAGCCGCGCTGAGCTCCACGTGAGCCGCGCAAGTGCGGCGCCCATGTTGGGCCGCCGCAAGACCGCGATGAGACGCAGCCAGCACGCGCCCTCGCCAACGTGGCCGAGAGGGCCTGACACGCGCGAACATCACCGCTGAGAAGAAACGCCTCGCTAGCGAAGAGCGACGAGGTGCTCTGGCGGCTTGCTGGTCTTCGGATCCAGCCCGTCGTTGTGTTCTTGGCCCAGTGCGTGCGGGAGTGCAGGGGGAACCCCGCCACAGGCAGGCAAAGCCCCCCGACGTACCTGTGCTTGCCACGGTGCACTCTGGCATGCAACAACACCGCTTGCCGATCCTGCAGCCGCTGATCGCCCCCAGGCCGCGACTGTCCGCGTGGCCCTCGGCGCCGGAGCTCTAGACGGTCAGTCGCCCCAGCGGCCTCGGAGGCCTGCCAACCCTTCTCGCGGCCTCCCACCCCCAAGCCCGAGCAAGGCCCGTCGCCTGACAGAGGCTGTTCGTGGGGTTCGTGGGGGCGTCCTGACGGACGAGCTGGCGCCGGCGGAGGAGGCGGCGGCCTCGGCCCACTGCCGCCCCTGGCCCTGATCATGTTACAACCTCTTGGCAGCCGCCGAAGCCGCGGCAGGAGGGGCTGTGGCGCCCGGTTTCCACTTGACCCCGCTGACGTCAGGGGCGAAGGCTTTCTCGCGGCACGGATCAGAGAGCAGCTTCGTGAACCTCTGCTCCGGCCGCGCCGTGCGCAGGCTGCGCGTGGAGTAGAAGCCGCCGTTCTCGATCTTGATCGGGCTGTGCTTCGTGGCACTGAGGGGCAGCCCCTTCAGGGAGTGG